AGCCAGATGGGCACATCCTCAGCATTCCCAGCTGGCATTCACTGGGAAATGCAACAGGCTGCCTAGGGAAGTTGTGGAATCATCATGCCTGGGAGTGCTCCAAAAGACATGGTTAGTGGTGGCCTTGGCAGTGCTGGGAAGTGGTTGGCCTCAGTGGTCTCAGAGGGTTTATCCAGCCTTAATGCTTCTATGAAGTTCCAGTACTTCAGCAAAAGGATTGTTTTTTTCGTATCAAATCCATGGGACTTCATGGATATGCCTTGCCATAGCATGGATTTTCTAGGATGTTGCCACTGGATCTGGACAGAGCTGCTGAGCAGGTCCACCAGTCCCTCTGCTGTGGGTACACTGTGGGATGGAGCTGAGCTCCTGTTCACTCTCTGCTCCTGGCTGCAAGACCTTTAAATCCCAGGAAGCTTTTAGCTCTCATTTCACCCAGCCTTTCCTTCATTTGCTTCTCACTAGGATGAAAGAGCAGGAAGGCAAACAGGGAGAAGCAGCAGGTTTTCCCTCTAGGGAAGAGCCCCAAAAATGCCCAACTGTGGAATTCAAACTACCCCAGCAGCAAACCTCAATGAGTTCTTCCTCTGTGGAGGAGCATAGAGGCTCCACAATGAGATTTCTGCTACAGGACATGAGTCAGCCCAACTCTTTCAAATTGAAATGCCAGGAGAGGAGATTTTTAGAACAAATCAATAAAAGGAACATGTAGAAAATGTCAGGCCCAGATGGTATTCACCCCAGAGTGCCAGAGCAACTCAGATATGAAATTGCCTGCTTTATTAGCTGCTCTTGCTTAACTACTGCTTCAAATGAATAGGGGAGCAGGGGAAGGGAAGGCTGGAATTGTGACATGAGTTCTTAAGTGTGTGAAGGTGAATCTAGTGCAGGGAGATTCATAGAAATCCTTCAGTGCAAGGCTCAACAGAGCTGTGGAGCTGCTGTTCCCAAAGGAACCAAAGTGACATTGCCAGGGTGGGGAACCGTGGTTGGAAATTTGTTGGTGTCTTTGCAAGGGCTGGATGAGGAGTCCTGGATGGCCTTGGACAAGGGCACAGAGGGACAGGACAAGGGGGAAGGGCTTCTCACTGCCAGAGGGCAGGGTAAGATGGGGTATTGGGAAGGAATCATTCCCTATGAGGGTGCTGAGGCACTGGCACAGGTTGCCCAGAGCAGCTGTGGCTGCTCCATCCCTGGGAGTGTTCCAGACCAGATTGGATGGGGCTTGGAGCAGCCTGGGCTGGTGGGAGGTGTCCCTGCCCATGGCAGGGGGTGGGACTGGATGAGCTTTGAGGTCTCTCCCCAACACATATCAGTCTGTGATTCAATTCTGTGATGACAGAGAACACCTGAGCTCACAGGGGACCTGAGCTGTCCCTGAATTAACAGCCAGGCTCTGTAGGGACTAATATGTGTTAAAAGCTGGAAAGTGAGGGTAGGAATAATTCATCATCCCCACCAAGGGAGGTCATTAGCAGAGTCCCAGAGTATCTGCTCAGCACAGTGATAAATGTCATGGTGAAGAGGAGGATGTTGGTGTTGACTCCACTAAACACCCGCAGCAGAGAGTTGCTGAAGGACCTAATAATGCTGAATAGCATGAGCAAAATGTGGCTGGGGGATTTCTGTCACCAACTGTTGGATATTTGTCCCATGAAACAATATGTCATGCCTTTATGACTCTCCCACCATGCAGAGGAGGGATTTGGGAGTCACCACAGGTTGGTAAGAGCTCAGCATGGAGCTTGGGCAGGACAGGAATGAAGAACAAGCTAGGAAACCTCTTTATAGCCTCAGTGTATCCTAACCCCTGTGCACAGTTCTGGACACCACATTTCAACAAAGGTATGCTAAAACAATATCACCACACAATAAAGACATGCTAAAATTACTAGCAGGTTGGTCACAGATAAGACTGGACTACTTCAGCCTGGTAGGAGCCTGATTGGGCACCCTCACAGGGAATGATTCCTTCCCAATATCCCATCTTACCCTGACTGGGTACCTAACATCTCAAGGGACCTGACAAGGACACTTTTCACCCTTCTCACTCTGCATGGACTAGGAGACCATGAAGGGGAGGGGTTTAGGTCAGCAGGACAAGCAGTTCACCAGGTGCAATGTTTAACTGGACTTCACCCATACACAATGAGAGAGGTCAACCTCCCATCAGCTAAACAGCAGATACATCCATGGGAGGGAATATCACTCATAAACACATGAAAAATCCAGTGTGAAGCTCAACAAGTCCCTTTACTGGAAACTGCCTGGGACTGGAACTCCAGGATGGTCCAAGGCTTGCTGCCCCAAGCATCTGCCACTGTCAGAGCTACCATGAGGTGTCCCCTGGCTTGGTGCAGGCCTCCCAGTTTTCTCTCTTGAATGCTTAGTGTGTTATTTGATGAGCATCCCACCAGCCCCAGCATGCTCCCAGGAGCAAGGCCACCTCACCTGCCTGTGGCTCCAGTAGGGTCTCCAGCTCCTCTCCCACCAGCTGTTGCACGGAGAGCTCAAAGCCGCTCTCGGAGTCGCGGTCCTCGGCCTCACTCTCGCCATGTCCGCTGTCCTTCGTGCTCAGGCAGTCAGTGTCCAGCCCTGCCACCCTGCCAGGGGCCACACACTCCAGTCACATGTCAACTCCCAGCACAGCCCTCCCCAACCAGTCCTTTGAAGGTAGTTGTCTTTATCCCCCACAAAATGACCCAGAGAGGGGGTGTGGGCACCCTCTCTCTCATCACTCACAAAATCAAAGGCATAATCACTCCAGTCCTGACCAAGGATTGAGTTTTAAGTTTGGGCTACATGAGGGGATGCTCCACATTTCTTGCCTGAGGGGTTTTGTCCTTAAGCAGGGAGATCATAGGTCATGGAATGGTTTGAGTTGGAAGGGACCTTAGAGCTCACCTTGTTCCATGCCCTGCCATGGACAGGAACACCTTCCACTAGCCCAGGTTGTTCCAAGCCCTGTCCAACCTGACCTCAAGCACTGCCTGGGATGGGGCATCTCCTGAGCAAACAGGTTGCTGCTGGCCCCTCCCCATGAATTCAGACCAAGTGAGGAGTATCACAGCAGCCCTGGAGCTGTTCTCCCTCCCCATCCTCAGCAGATGGAGATGGGAAAGATGGAGAAAGCTGTGTCTGTTCATGGCCTGAGCAGGTGGGGACGGGGACACAATAAGGCAGTGATGAAGCCTTGGCATCCTCAGAAGCTTCACCCAGAGATCTCAACAGCATAATTTAATGGGAACACCATGAAGTTTGTTTCTAGGAACATCTTTGGCACACATCTGGGATTTGTCAGTCCTTCCATCCTGGCTAGCCTCCTGGCACAGGGATATGTGCCCCAAACTCGTATCAGCAGTGCCCAGAGCCATGGAGAGACTCACACTTGTGCTACTGCCCCCAGAGCTGAGCCTCTCTGTGCTCCCGAGTGCCCCTGCCCAACGCCCTGGAATGCTCTGTGTTACCCTGGCAAGGACAGGATGAAGTTTGTGGCCATGGAGGAGCTTAGGTGAGTATGGAAGGAGCTGCCAAAGGTGCTCCAAGACAAGCATCTGGATACCAACAGGAGCCAGGAGAAGAGGAGCACAAGCATCCCCTGAAGGGAGAATCGACCTCCCCAGTCGCAGCTCAGCAAAACCAGGGATGAGGTTTGCCAGGTGTGTCTGCTGCCCTGGTGTCTCCTGCCCTTGGAGGTTCTCATGGCTGGTGAGGCTGCAGCAGAGATGTGGGAAGGGAAGGGCTGGGAGCCAACCTTACCTGCTGCCGTTCTTGGCCGTGTACTTGTTTCCCCTGTGGTTTGTTTTGGGCTGGAACTGGCCCTGGTGCAGCAGGGACAGCAGCTGCGAAATTTGCTGTAAGGCAGGAAAAGTCTGTTGAGCCCCAGCGAGAGCCACTCAAGCTGCTTCCTGCCAGGACGTCCCCTCCGAGCCCCCCCCCGGGCTTTTTATAGCCTTTCCTCCTCCTGCAGATGGCTGAGCAGCCCCAGCCAGGGGAAAACAAGCGGCCAGGAGCCCACCTGGCCCCGCACTCCCTGCCTGCCACTCCCTGGGGCAGCGAGCACAGATTGTCCCCTGGTCCCCACAAGAGCAGCCCTCCTGCCCGCGGTGCGGGGCATTCCTCCTACCCAGTCCCCACTGCTGGGGCACCTCCACCCCGGGCCAGGGGAAGAGACTAACTAAAGAGCATCAAGCTGCATGTTCCAGCCACCCCAGGGGAGGCAAGACCCAGGCAAGGCAGGATTTGGGGGTGTCCACACCTCTGGGAAAGCACAGGGCAGCTCCTACCTGCACTGGGGGCGACTCCATCGCGAACTCCCCCGTGGGACTCTGCTCTGCCAGTGCCACCAGTGACAGCCGCACCAGGCTCCGGAGGATGTGCTGGTGGGGCTGGGGCTGCCCAGGTCCCCCAGCACCCACAGGCTGGTCGGGTGGCAGCTGGGGCTGTCCCATGGGTGGCTTCACCAAGGTCCTGCCGTGTTGTGATGCATCCAGGGGACTCACAGCCTCTTTTGCTGTATGTTTGGGTCTGTGTGGCTGGCAGGGTCGGCGCTGCAGGATGGGCAGGTCAAAGGCCTCCTGCTGCTCATCTGAGTCTTTTTGGGTCCTCTGATTTCTCAAGGTCCTGTAGAGAGTGGGGGTGAGGAGGAGAGGAGCTTGTGGGAGAGAGGAGCTTGTGGGGAGCCCCCTGGAGCAGGGGTGGCTGTGCTGGGCAGATCCTCCTGGCAGGGCCGTGGGGGCTCAGCCTCCCGAGGACGGCCCCGGAGCAGCGGGACAAGGTGGATATCTGTCTTCTGGATCTGCCTGTGTGGCTTCTTGAGCTGCTGCTGCCTGTGGGCATCCTCTGCCTGCCTGCAGTTGTAGGCCATGCCGTCCTTCTGCTCCTTCTTACACAGAGACAGGGTTAGAGCCAGGAGGAGAAGGCACCCGCCCAGGAGAGCAGCCATGCAGATCACCACCACCACGGAGGGGCTCAGCCACCCTGGATTCTGGGCTGAGATTTTGGAGAAGGCCCCATGGCGCCGGAAAAGCAAGCGGAGCCGGGCCAGGGTGTGCAGGGGGATGTCCCCACCATCGCTCACCCGCACCACCAGCTCCCGCTCGCTGCCTGCCAGGCTGCTGGCATTGCTGGTGTTGAGGAAGACCTGCCCCAAGAGAGGGTCCAGGATGAAGAGCCCAGCATCATCCCCACCCACCAGCTCATACCAGAGAGCCCCATTGATGCCGGAGTCCATGTCCCTGGCCACGATGGTAAAGAGGAAGGGGTTGCCAGCACATGACACGAGTGTTGCATTGATCACTGCTGCAGCCCCTTGGGTGCTCCTGTTCCCAGGAACCACCCAGCAGCACCCAGTGTCTGTATTGACCAGGACAGAGAGCGTGGCTGTGCCTCCCACCAGTGCTGGCGTGGTGATGATGGGTGCATTATCATTCCTGTCAAGCACAGCCAGCCTGATGGAGACGTTGGATGCCAGCTTGGGATGACCTCCATCCTCTGCAGTCACCAGGAACTCCAGGCTCCTCACCTGCTCATAATCAAAAGCTTGGAGGGCAAAAACATCCCCAGTGGTGGGGTCAACTGAGACCAGACCTGAAACAGAGGAGTCTGGAATGCTGAAGGTGATTCTCCCATTGAATCCCAGGTCGGGGTCGGTGGCACGGACGGTGAGCAGGAAGGCAGGTGCTTCACTGTTCTCAGCAACAGCAGCCTCATAGATGGCCTTCTCGAAGGCTGGGGCGTTGTCATTGACATCACTGATGCAGATAGTGAGGTGTTTCAGCACAGCCAAAGACAGGTGTCCCTGGTCCCGTGCCACCAGCGTCAGGTTGTACTCGGCACGCAGTTCCCTGTCCAACGTGGCATTGGTCATCAGCACATAGCTGTGGCTGTTGGTCCTCTTCAGCCTGAAATGCTCATACCCTTGACTGAGGGAGCACAGCACTTGCCCATTGCTCCCTGAATCAGGGTCGCTGGCTGTCACCAGAGCCACGAAGCTGTCTTTGGGGAGAGCTTCGGAGAGCACGGGCACCCGCGCGGCCCAGGTGACGTGGACGTCAGGAGCGTTGTCGTTGACATCCAGGACTCTGACCAGGACCTTGCAGTGGGCTGGGATGGGGTTGGCGCCCAGGTCCCGAGCCTGCAAATCCAGCTCGTAGGTGTGGGTTTCCTCGTAGTCCAGGGGGTGCCTCAGGATGACGCTGCCTGTGCGGGCATCGATGCTGAAGGTGCTGAGCACCTCCGGGGGCGCGTGCTTGCTCAGGCTGTACTCAATCTCCCCATTGGGGCCCTGGTCGGGGTCGGTGGCTGTGACTGTCACGAGGAGGGTCCCGGGCAGAGCATCCTCCCAAACCTCCACTGCCAAGCTGCTCTCTGCAAAGACAGGGCTGTTGTCATTGGAGTCAAGGACAATGACTTTGATTAGAGCAGTGCCTGATTTTGGTGGCTCCCCATGGTCAGTGGCTGTCAGCACGAGTTCGAAGGAGGAGTGCAGCTCCCTGTCCACTTCTTTAACCACAACAAGCTCTGCATGCCTCGTCCCATCGGAGCTGGAGACAACCTCCAGAGCAAAGTGCTCGCTGGGGGAGAGCGCGTAGGAGCAGCGGGCGTTGGGGCCAGCATCAGCATCCAGGGCCCG